AATCACAATATTACAATGTTGTCCCCTTCGTAATATATATCACAATATTACAATGTTGTCACCTCCCTAATATATATCACAATATCACAATGTTGTCCCCTTCCTCATATATATCACAATATTACAATGTTGTCACCTTCCTAATATATATCACTATATCACAATATTACAATATTACAATGTTGTCCCCTTCCTAATACATATCACAATATCACAATATTACAATATTACAATGTTGTCCCCTTCCTAATATATATCACAATATCACAATATTACAATATTACAATGTTGCCCCCTTCCTAATATATATCACAATATCACAATATTACAATATTACACATATAGGTTGATTATATATAATGCAATGGGATACAAAAAACCTGGAAGAAAAGGACGTGTTAGAAAGTTCATAATAATTGGTTTAGAGTGAAGTATCTCTGTCATATAAAATATCTCGAAGAAGAACGAGGTGTTACAAAATTCATACTAATTGTGTTTGACATCTCTGTAACATGAAATAACTCGAAGAAAAACGAGGTGTTAGAAAATTCATAATAATTTAGTTTGAGTGTAGTTTCCCCGTTACATATTATATATTTGTACACATTTGTTATCTGTTTTAGGCTGGAGAGACAGGAGGCTGTTTTACACCATTCACAATGGATGTCTGCCTCCTGTAGAGCTCAGCTGGAGGTGGTCACAAGATGGATACTTATGGGTGAGATGTACCAGTTATCTCCCTTTATGTAGAGAACTTAAGTTAATAACATTCCAGTTAACATTTCTTAGTAGGTATCAAGTAAAACAAATAAATGCACTCATATTTGATGTCACCCTGGTAAAATACTAGCCGCTTCCTACTGTCTCGGCTAAGAAGAATGTCTCTTTTACCTCATTTGGTAGAGTGCAAAACTAGTAAACCAGAGGTCCCGGGTTTGACTCGTAGTGGAGGCATTGAAAAAATAATGACCTCTGTTACATTGGCGCCCAAGTAGGGACCCGGTAAATTTGACAAAAAGACTCAACGATACTTCCAAAGGAATCGTTATGACCCCTGGAAAACTCGGGACTAGTTCTTTCCTGGAGGGGGATAATGTCATCCTGGTAAAATACTATCCACTTCGTACCAACTCGGCTGAGGAGATTTTCTTTTTATAGCTCATTCGGTTAGGCCTAATACTAGTAAGCCAGAGGTCCCGGGTTCGACTCCTAGTGGAGCTATTGAAAAAATAATGGCTTCTGTTACATTTATTTTTGTCTAAAAAGTTGAGTGTCATCATGTCTCAACATTATACAGGACAAATATCACATGACAACTTGGGGAATACCCTCTCCTCCATCAATACCACATGACAACTTGGGGATTACCCTCTCCTCCATCAACATCACATGACAACTTGGGGATTACCCTCTCCTCCATCTATATCACATGACAACTTGGGGAATGCCCTCTCCTCCATCAACATCACATGACAACTTGAGGAATACCCTCTCCTCCAACAATATCACATGACAACTTGGGGAATACCCTCTCCTCCATCAATATTACACTCAGTATATTGGCAAAACCAGTCTCCTTTACTCTTCTGTAGCAATCCCTCTTACGAACTGAGGTGCTATCACAGTAATGTTATCATCAGCATTGATTGTAAAAATAAACAAAAATAGGACTATGAAAGCCTTCAAGTACATTAATAAATAATAGTTATATTTAAGTGATTAACTAGATTGAGATATTAGAATAGGCTAGATTGAGACATTAGAATAGGCTAGATTGAGATATTATAGAAAAGGCTAGATTGAGATATTAGAATAGGCTAGAGTGAGATATTATAGAATAGGCTAGATTGAGATATTTTAGAATAGGCTAGATTGAGATATTAGAATAGGCTAGAGTGAGATATTATAGAATAGGCTAGATTGAGATATTTTAGAATAGGCTAGATTGAGATATTAGAATAGGCTAGATTGATATATTATAGAATAGGCTAGATTGAGATATTATAGAATAGGCTCGATTGAGATATTAGAATAGGCTAGATTGATATATTATAGAATAGGCTAGATTGAGATATATAGAATAGGCTAGATAGAGATATTATAGAATAGGTTAGATTGAGATATTATAGAATAGTCTAGATTGAGATATTATAGAATAGGCTAGATAGAGATATTATAGAATAGGTTAGATTGAGATATTATAGAATAGTCTAGATTGAGATATTATAGAATAGGCTAGATTGAGATATTTTAGAATAGGCTAGATTGAGATATTAGAATAGGCTAGATTGAGATATTATAGAATAGGCTAGATTGAGATATTAGAATAGGCTAGATTGAGATATTATAGAATAGGCTAGAT